TATGTAAACCGAAGGATGAGGGGGGGTTTGGGTATCAAGGATCCACGCCACATGAATAAGTCTCTTCTTATGAAACTCAGCTGGGGAGTGTTGACGAAACCGGAGTCACTGTGGGTTCGTCTCTTAAAGGCCAAATACGACTTTACCTTGACACCCGACTTGGGCTATTTTCGGCGTGGTACGGGGTGCCTTTGCTGCGTGCCCTTCAGAAAGTTTGGCCTGATGTCACGAGAGGTGCTCGGTGGGCGATTGGCAATGGTGAACGGGTGAGGTTCTGGCTTGACTCCTGGCTTGGGTCGAAAGAACCTCTCATACGAGCTGCCCTTCGTCGTCCTCCGAACAAGGTGATTAATCTACCGACAACCAACTTTGTGGACGAGTACGGTAGGTGGAACTGGGACATGATCAATGGCCTACTTTATTCTCCGATCATTCTTCGGATCGCGGGCACACCACCCCCGAGTGCCACGGCTGGGAAGGACTGTCTCCTTTGGCGATTTTCTCATGATGGTCAATCTTCTACACGATCGGCCTATCAGGCTCTGCTCGGTCCTGAATGTGACCCCAACAAACAACTCTGGAAGGATATATGGCGATTGTCGGTCCCTCAAAGGACCTGAAATTTTCTGTGGCTAGACGCTAGAGGTCGCTTGCTTACAAATGAGGAGCGAGCTCGACGGCACCTTTTGATTTCTGCTGCATGTGATAGCTATGGTGAGATAGAGCCAATCACTCACGTGTTATGCGATTGCCCAGCTGCTTGCAGCCTCTGGCTCCGCTTGCTACCACCTGCTCACGGCGAGGCATTTTTTGGGCAGCCGCTCAGGCTTGGTTGCACATGAATCTAATGCGGACGAAATTCGTGACAGTTCATAACTGGGGGTCCATTTTTACCTTCACTAGTTTTAGAGACCTTCCTTTTAGCCCCTAACACACTCAGACCTTAAGAAAGTCGAGGTACGATGTAATTTCCCCAATTTAATTTGGTGGGTCTAAATTTCTAGCCGATCTATATTTGTTGTTATCAACCACATCTAATCCTATATTTGCCACGTTCGACAATTTGTTGTTTTATTTTTTTATATATAAACATCCCAGAGTGGGATGGGGGGTTGAGGCTACACCCCCGACCTGTGAATATAATGGCCTAAAGAGGGCTAAAAAATCAATGTTCTACATCAGAGTCGATAATACATAGGGCAACATAAAAAACGGAAAAATAAGTAAAAATAAAAAGTAAAAGGATCACGAAAATATCCAATGTGAATCTATCAAATCCTCATAAAAGGTCGTCCTGGTCAGAGTGACCTGGCATGGGGTCCAAAACGTCAAATCTAGTCAGGGGCAGGTGGTGGCAGTCGATCGAATCTGAAAGATGGGTACCCTAGTTGGTCCATCCGAATGAGCGTCCGAAGCCGAAGGGGAATGTTCTCAGGAAGAATGGTGCGACTCTGGGGTATAGATGCCCCTGTGCTAGCAAGAAAATCAGCAGGCCGATTCCCCTCCCAGAATATGTGTGAGACCTGGTAATGGATCGAGCGGAGGGTGTCTCTGATGTGCATAAGAGGATGTTGGATCTGCCATGACCCTAGTGGCCAGATGTCAAAAGTGTGATGACAGCTGCAGCATCCATCTCTATCCAGATATGGGAGGAGATCGAAGCGGCAATCTCAAGACCAATCTGGAGCGCCTGAATCTCTGCATCATAACTCGAGGAGGCCCAGAATGGTCCATGGAAGGCAGAGACGAGTGCTCCACCATGATCCCTAATCAGGCCCCCTCCTCCAGCAGCTCCGGTATGTCTGTCGAAAGCGCCATCAGTGTTTAGCTTAACCCAAGGGGTCTTGGGTTTCAGCCAAACAACGGTCCTGGGTCGTGGATGCTGGACAGGTAAAGGAGGTGGTGGCCTCAAACGATGGGGCGGAGTACACCCTGTCCAGTCTCTCGTCGTGAGTCTACCCAGGGCGGTGAGGAGAGAGAGATGTCTGTCAACCTACAAAATAATGTGGGCACAAGAAAATATAATATCCCTATGCTTCGCATTATTCCTTTCTGTCCAGGTGTCCCATAGGATCAGACAAGGAATAAGGAAGCCCACGTGTCTACTGTGTGTGCGGTGTGAGAAAAAACTTAGAAGCTCAAAAAAACTGTCTGTAATGGGTAGGGGTATACGAGTATATCTGGTATAGTGCTCCCACGCTCTCCTCACAGTCTCACTCTCAAGGAAAAGATGGGTGAAAGTCTTGATCTCAAAGGTACTGGTCTCAGCGCAACAATGGCAACGGGAAGGGAAGGAAAACCCTCTCGCCTGCATCACAGTGTCAATGAGAATGCGCCGTAATAGGAGGCGCCACAAAAAGACGGAAATGGTCGGGGTGAGAAGGTCGGTCCATATGGCCCCGAAGAGGCGGTTTGGCCGGTTGCCCAGCCTCACATCTCCCCAGGCTGATGATGTAGAGAATTCACCTGAAGATGTAAGTCTCCACCTCATGCCATCCAAACCTCCCTCCAGGATGAGAATCTGTCGGATCTGGTCAATCTCTAGATTACTAAAAGCCCCACCCTCACCGAGAATATCCTCCATCTTATATTTATCCCAAAATCCCCCCGTCCAAAGGTCCTTCACCTGCATGAAAGGAAAGTGAGTGACTGGCCTAGTACTCGAGAGAGGGGCCTCGCCGAACCACCACTCATCCCAGAAGCTAACCTCTCCAGAACCCAAGGTCCAAAAAATGTGCTTTTGAGCACGCCTGCCAATAATGGTGAG